CCCGCCCGCCCGCGAGGGCTGGCTGCGCGTCCGTGGTGGTGAAGACCCAGGCGTTCTCCTCAGCGTTACCCGTTTTTACGGACATGGGCATTCCTCTGTAGTGTGGGAATGCTCTGAGATATGAGACGGGGTCGCGAGGGAATTAGGGACTTGTCGCTAAAATACAACGGCAAACAAATTTCATCAAACTACCGTCACCTAATTTTTATGTCATAAGTTTTGCAAGTATTACATAAATAATTACTCCTACTTTAAAAGTATTTTACTTAGTCCTCATAGATACTACAAAAATTAAAAGAACTAAAGGCAGTGTAGGCTATTTTAAACAGATTACAAAAGACTTTAGTACTTTGTTAAAAAAAAAAAAATTAAAATGTAGAGGAACATTTAATAGTTTTCAAAATTAATACTGATATAGGTGATATGGTGGAAATAGGTAAAGGAAAATCTGTAATAACTAACCTGGATCAAATAACATTGTTTACACCAATAACAAAGAGAAGTTTTTCTAGAATACGGTGATACTGAGAAAGAAAAAAAAACTTAAGATACTTTGACAGAGTAAATTCCGTCATTCTAAAATTGTTGATTGTACTGTGAGAACATTGCCGTATTCTCACTGGTGTACTATACCGAGATACCTTTCTGCAAAAGAAAAAAATAAATAAAATGCTGCCTTGCGCCACTTTTAAAAATACATACAACCAGGACTTAGGTGGGTTGTTTGCGGTTCCCTATGCTTACCTGCTTAATTGTCCCTGTACAAATATTCCAGGCTTCGTGCTCTTCCCCTTCCCTTTGCTCTGGACAAAGTGTCAGTGGGCATTCCTCCATTCCTTGCACTTGCTTGGCTGTGAAAAAACCACCAGCCAACCCAGCATGTTTATTAACGCAGGCCCAACAGCAATTCATGTAATGAAGGCTTTGCTAAATGAACCTGTATTTATTATGGGGAGTTAATGCTTTTTTCCTGTTTAAGTGTGTTACTTCTATTTGTGAAAATTACTTTTGAATCTGTTGTGTGGGCCCAATTCTTACTGTTTTTCTCATGTATCAGATGATACAGGAAATCGACTTCGGTTCCAGCTGGAGTTAGAGTTTGTTCAGTGTCTGGCAAATCCAAATTACCTCAACTGTGAGTACTTAAATATCAGGATCCTGAGGAATTAATACAGTTTAATGGTGTTTATTATTACTGGTAATGTTAAACAGGGAGAGAGAGGGCTAAAGGGAATGGGGCTTTCACAGTGTAAAGGTAGTCTGTAAGTCATTTGTCTAGCTTTCTAACAGGTCGATTTTTTAAAATGCAAATGTTTTATTCGTTGAAATGAAAAAAAAATGCATCTGGGGGTGAGATGATAAATTCAAGTCTATAGTTAAACAGTAATGTCAAGTTAACAATATTCCTAGTATGTTGACATATCTTTTTCCCTGTGTGTTTTTTCATTTTGAATGATCAGAGTTAGATCGTAATGATGAAGTTTTGACTAAAGCACCTTTGTGTAGCTTTGTGAATACATGTTCTTCAAGTTTGGCAGAGTTTTTTCACACATCCATAACTGACAATTCTTTATTTGTCGTTTTATTTCAGTTCTTGCACAAAGAGGCTACTTCAAAGACAAAGCTTTTGTAAATTATCTTAAATATTTACTTTATTGGAAAGAACCTGAATATGCGAAGTACCTGAAGTAAGTGTTAAAATCACTTGGGTCTCTGCATTTTGATGTGATGTTTACCTCCTGTTATGTACTGTACAGCAGCATGTCAGTATTTGACTTCTGCCTGTAACCTTGCCTTTGTCCTCCCCGCTGTGTTTATAGGCAATATAAATTTTCCTGTTCCCAACAGTCCAGATTTTATCAAGAATAGACAAAATTGGCTTTCATGAGTTGTGCATGCAATCTTATTTTTGCATCCTGTATCTGCACTTTACCGTTTGTTTAAAATAAAATTGTTGAACATTAAGGTAGAAAACTACTTCACTTAGGCCCAGTAAATACATTTTAAGAGTGATTTTGCATTGTTGATGCTTACCCAATGCAAAGGATTGACTGCATTTTTGTGAGTGTGCAAATCCCTTCAAATTTTGGGAGCAGCTCCTGGTTATGCACTTTATATGAGCTCTAGAAACGGGTAACGTAGGTGTTATGTGTTTGTTCTCGTAAAAACTAGTCATTAGAAAAGCTACTCTAAGCAAGCCCATATATCCATTTTTAAACTCTTGTGGGACTCCTTGTTTCCCAGCTGAATACTGAAGTTAAGTTACAGTGTGTGGAGTATGGACGGTCGTCAGTTGTTGGGTGCTTGAGTAAAGCACATGTATCATAGAACTAAAATAACAAACCACAGAATTATTGGAGACTCCGGTTTTAGTGTACCTTGTAAAAACTTGTGCTAAAGTATGTTTATTTTTAATCCAGGTATCCTCAATGTTTGCATATGTTAGAGCTGCTCCAGTATGAACATTTCCGCAAAGAACTGGTAAATGCTCAGTGTGCTAAATTTATTGATGAGCAACAGATTCTTCACTGGCAGCACTACTCTCGGAAGAGAATGCGCCTCCAGCAAGCACTGGCAGAGCAGCAGCAGCAAAACAACACCTCTGTAAAATGAAAAACGCTTGGAAGAGTGACGATAAGGTGCACTTTGTGTCAGTTTACAAGAGAGGAATGAACCCTTTTGTAGGCTTGGCTCCGGGTGGGTGTACATTTAATTTTTGATGTTACCAAGTGACTGGAGTGCTTTTTCCTTTCATCATCAACTTTTTTAAAGATGCAAGACTGATAAACACCTACTTCCACAGTTTATTTTGTAGCATGGACAGTTTTATAAGAGCATTACTGATTCCTCTTGATTTTGAAAATAAAACATAGCTTTGAGGGCATTGACGTTTAAGTACCTAACACAAATGTGTAGCTCAGTTGTTCTTGGGAGATGTTTTCCCTGGAGAATTGTGCTGTGTCTCAGTGTGGCCCACAACTCCCTCAGGTACTACTTTTTACAACTGCAGGATGAGCAAAGTTGAAGTGATGATACTGTACAAAACCTAAATTGTGGATTTTTGCCTGAGACCAAGCTGAGCTGTTGCTTGTCGTTTCTGTTTACCTGGTAATCATTCTTGCTGGGGGTCTTACAGGTTTTTCTTACAGCGTGTTTTAGAGCTAGAAATCAAAGTGTGATGAGAGAAGGATGGCAGGAATGGAGCAGAGATAAGTAATAATAAACTTTGCAGGTACTCAACAGAAGGCAAGAGGCTGTAGCTCTACTCCATTAAATTCAGCTTACATGTAGTGAAAACGATTTGTGTTACAAAAAAAAAAAAAGGTGTAAACGCAGTATTGGAGAAGCATTTGCCATTTATTCTTGTATAGGTTTTTATTGTAAGAACACAGAACTCAGCAGCTGTCAGGGGCTTAATTTTTGTATTTTAGATTGTATTCATGCTGCATTCATGTTACATTTCATATCCTTGTAGGAGCAGGTACTGCAGCTGTTAACCCTTAACATGTGATTGTGACACCAGGACTGTCAGCCGTCAGCGTATCAGACTGAACAGACGAGCCATTAAACATCTCTGGCGCTGAACACTTATCTTAAGAGCTTCAGTAGCTATGTAAAGTCAGATTTAGGAAGAATAAGCAGGTTTCTCTGTTTCTCCTGCTTCCCTGCCCCCATTAATCACTATTAAAGGTATAACTTAGCAGTTAAGTCTTACTCTTCAGTAAGTATAGGCTGCTCTCTTGATTTACAACAGGAGCTCAGCTCCTTTGAAGAGAGACTGTTTGCAAACTCACTTATTTGGACATGAAAGGAAAGATACAGGTTTTTGTTGCAGGATTTTAGCAGAAGGCTTGGACCTGGAATTTAATTACATTTGTCTTGACTAGTCTGAAGTAATTAACCATGGAAGTTAAGGATTCCTTGAAAGGACACCGCACATAACTTGAGATTAACATCTTCGTCAATAATTGACTGCTGGAGGATTTAGTCTTCAGTAAACAGCATACGCACAAGCTCTGCTTTGAAACATTCTTCCTCAACCAGCTTCTGAGGCTGAAAGGAAAGTTAAGATGTTTTAGGAGCAATTCAAAAACCTGTTCTAGACTAGAGCCATTTATGCGTACTAACATTAGCCATACTCCAGCAATTGTATTGGAAGGGAGAGGGGTGTGGAACAGGCAAGGTTAGAACAATTGAAAAATGCCTGAGGGTTTTCTGGGTTTAGAAGAGGTATTTATAAGAAAGTAACTGCTAATTTACATAATGTGCACAAGTTAAAACTTGAGCTGTAGTCTTTCAATCAAGAATATACTATACATGATCTTGTTTCACTCCCGTAATCGACATTTGCATTTTTTGAAATTTGAGGAGCTGCAAGACGGGAAGCTACTGGATCTTCTCTACTCCTCAACCACTGCATGTTAACTGTACATATTTTCTTTAGTACATGTTTATTGTAGACAACATTATACAGAAGGCACAGTGCTTCTCTCTTGCAGAATTGTTTGAGCCAGGAAGAGTGCAGGCGTGGAAGCAGAAGAGCTGTTCCTAATTGTCTGCTCTTGTTTAAACAAGGGAGGGTATCAGAAAATATGCATGACTAACTCTGTTACAGCCAGAAGCTCCTGCCAGTTTTCTATCTGAATGCCTGTAGGTCTAGAACATGCAATAAGTCACTTACTGTTCCGTATTTAAGTAGTGTAGGCACTCCTGTTAGTTTCAGATTCTTTCTGAATTCATTGTTGGGATCTTTCCAGCTGTTCAAGAAGAAGGGGTTAAGCTCAGCTTGTAGTGGTGCAATTTCAAGGCAGCCTGTTAAAATTCCTTCAAAAGGATGATTCAAAGGTCTTTGCCTCATACCTCCCCAACCCACTCCTCAGAACAAGCATGCAGATAGTTCACATCAGGGATGGTGTAGACCACAGAACTCAAAAACACGCTTCATTCCTTGCAGAGAAGGACAGCTCCGTCAGTTCCTAACAGGTCACTTAACCTCCAGTCCAGGAATAGCAAAGTTATCAGTGTTGGCATTAAAACAGTTACTTACTAGGCTCTGTCTCCTACTAGGCAGTAGATGAATACAGACTCATCAGGCATGTTATGAAGTTCCTTCCTCACAACCGGTTCAGCTAGAGAAGAATTTTTAAAATCTATTAGTAGTTAATACTTTGACCGTGCTACAGAATTGCACGGGTCTCCTTTGACCAGCAGGGCTGCTAATTCATGTTTTATCTGCTTCCGGTAGAGATCTGCATTCCGTTTCACCTGGTTATCCACAAGCTCTGCAGAATTTACACGCTCAGTGCTGAAGGGACGGGTCTCTGAGTAAAGGGCAATTTCTGCTTTAACCAGTCAGCACCTCCTGTCCGTATGAAAGCCCATCAGAGCAGCGGCGGGCGGCTGCCTCGTGCCAGGCGCCACCTGGAGTTCAGTGCAATGTTTTCTGAGGAAGCGCCTTCACATTCTGCTTCCAGGCAGCGACTGGCAGGTCAGTTCTGCCTCGACAGATAAAGCAGGGCTGAATGAACTGACCACGAGATGCACATCTAAGCGTTTGCTGGGCCTCGGTCCCGGCCCGCGCCGAACACCGCGCTACCTCAGGGGCCGCGCAGCGGAATGCAGCGAGCGAAGCCCAGCGTAGCGCGG